GCAGCGGGCGCCGAGCGGCAGAGCGGGCGGGAAGGCCCTCTGCTGCTCGTTCGGGCCGGGGCTACCTGGTGCAGGCAGCAGCGGCGCCGCAGCCCCAGGCCCGCTCAGAGACACCGCGCGGCCCACGCGGGCGGCGACTCCCTAGGAGAGGACCGGGTGGGGAGGAGGACGTGCGAGGCCGCGCGAAGGCCAGACAGCGAGCACCGAGGCCCTTACGCTCGGACCTCGTCACTGCACCCACATGGCCTCCGGAGTGGGCGCGGCCTTCGAGGAACTGCCGCACGACGGCACGTGTGACGAGTGCGAGCCCGACGAGGCTCCAGGGGCTGAGGAAGTGTGCCGAGAATGCGGGTTCTGCTACTGCCACCGCCATGCAGAGGTGCACAGGCAGAAATTCCCAGGGCACCACTTGGCCGAGTACGTCCACGGCTCCGCCCAGGCCTGGACCTCAGGCGCCCCCCAGGAGGGCGAGGGGAAGGGAGATGTGGAGGCCAAGGTGGAGAATGAGAGAGACGTAGAGGTCGAGATGGGAGAGGAAAGCGAGTCTGAGGAAGACAGTGAGTCCGAAGAAGAGAGCGAGACGGAGGAAGAGAGTGAGGATGAGAGCGATGAAGAGAGTGAAGAAGACAGTGAGGAAGAAATGGAGGATGAACAAGAGAGCGAGGCAGAGGAAGACAACCATGAAGATGGAGAATCTGAGGCCGAGGGAGAAACTGAGGCAGAAAGTGAATTTGACCCAGAAATAGAAATGGAAGCGGAGAGAGTGGCCAAGAGGAAGTGTCCGGACCATGGGCTCGATTTGAGTACCTATTGCCAGGAAGATAAGCAGCTCATCTGTGTCCTGTGTCCAGTCATTGGGGCTCACCAGGGCCACCAGCTCTCCACTCTAGACGAAGCCTTCGAAGAACTAAGAGTAAGTATGATGTATTCAGAGCATAGACCTAGAGATCAGGACACCTGGGTTTCAACTCAGGTGGTGTAGTTATGACCACATTCACTTTCGTCATGTCCCTAAAAAGCTAGTATTTTCAGCTCATTGGGAGCAGTGCTTATTCATCTTTTTGGTTGAACTCCTTAGAGAATCAGATCAAAGTTCTGGAATCGGAAGCGAGAAAAATAACATGTAGAAATACATAAAATACAGTTTCTGGGAAATTGCAAGCCTCTGGTCTCTAGATCCCAGGTAAAGCATTCCTTGGCAGTTTTGACCCTACCTAAGCCAATTCTTGCAGCCTCACCATTGTTGAGACTAGTGCCGTGACTTAGGCCTCTTGATAAGGCAATTTCTTTGGCTACTTGAAAACGTGGGAAACTGATTTTGCCAAATGAATCCAATCAGGTGGTTCCTCTGTAATGTAAGATTGCCGAAGGTTGGGGTTTTGGTAACAATTTCATGTATGCCTTGAGTTCCTTTTAGGTTTTTCATCTTTGATACTTGTTTAGAAGGGAGGATGAGAAGGTAGAGGCAAAATTGGGATGGGAGTGGGGGTTCCCATGTCCTTCATCTTTTGTAAGAAGGCCAGGCCTTAATCTAGAGCCTTGTTGGTCTCCCAGACCAGTGTTTGGAAAGTAAGAGACGTTAATAAATATTAGTTGAATGAATGAATTTGCAAATGATTTGCCTTTTATTTATGTTGCGGATGTTTACAATCAGTGGGAGAAACTGCTGGAGTTAACGAGGGAAGAAAATTTTGAGTGGAGTGATCAGGTTCATTAACTGATCAGTTCATTAGTAAATGTTGTCATTACAACTTTTGTTTCCCTAAGCAACCTTGTAATTGCTGGCACCGGAATAACAAATACTTGGATGATGAAAATCCCCTGTATTAAGATTTTCTCTTTTTTATTGTAAAATACTCAGTGTGTAAAAAGATATGCACAGTCTAACAATTATAAAGTAACTACTGATGTAACCTCTTCCCAGGTTAAGAAGTAGAATATTAGTAGTAGTATTGAAGTCCCATGCCTTTTCCAATTATAACCATGTCCCTTTCTCATAAGTAGCCATTATCCTGACTTACAATGGTGTTTTTCTTGCTTATCTTTATACTTTTACCACATGCCTATGCATTCCTAAACACTTGACACAGTTGGTATCATGTTGTTACCATGTATTGAGGTTTTGCTTCATTTTTTCAACATTGTGTTTGTGAGATTCATCTGGTGGGTGGTGGTGGTTTGTTCATTTTCATTATTGTATAGAATTCCATTTTATGAGTATGCCACAAATTACCTATTCTGTCAGTAATGAACATTTGATTTCCAGATTCTGGAGCTTCTGGCTATTATAAACAACGTTGGTATAAACATTCTTGTTCATGTCACCAGGTGCACATCTGCATATATTTAAATGGAATATAAACCTAAGAGTGCGATTGTTGGGTCATAGACTGTGCACCTCTTTAATAGTACTAGATATTGCCATTTGTTTTTCCTAAGCGGTTATACCAATTTGCATCGCCATGAAGTGTTTGAGAGTTCTTGTTGCTCTGTATCTTCACCACCACTTTCCATTACAGAATTTTTAATTTTTGTCAATCTTTTGGATATGTAATAGTATCTTCTTTTGATTTAAATTTCCTTTCTTCTAGTTACTGATGACTTTGAGTATCTTTTGTTTTTCTTCTTTTGAAGTGCCTATTCAGGTCTTTTGCTCACTTTTCTGTTGTATTGTCTATCTTTTTCTCATGAACTTTTAGTAATATATACATAGAGATATACGAACAAGGCCAAACTGTTACATAACTTAGCCAAGGTCAAAAAGCAAGTAGCAGAGCTAGGATACTTCCTGGCCTTCTCTAATTCCACATTGTGTTTTATTTTTTCATACATATATACACACATACACACACACACATACACATATATATATTTGTCCTGACTTCTTAGTTGTTATACAAGTTGGCAGTTATCTTCATCTACTGTTTTTTTCTTTACTTATATACACACATACACACACACACATACACATATATATATTTGTCCTGACTTCTTAGTTGTTTATACAAGTTGCAGTTATCTTCATCTACTGTTTTTTTCTTTACGTTTTAAAAAATTGTGCATTGAATAGAAGTTCTTCATTTTAATGTGGTAGAATTTATCAGTAATTTCCTTTATTGTTAGAGCTTTTCTTGTCTTGTTCCACTTAGTATTGATTTTTGTGTAGTGGAGGTAGGGGCTCAATTTCATTTTCCCCCATACAGTCAGTTGCTCTAGCAGCATTTATTGAAAAGCCTATCCTTTCTTCACACATCTGTTATGCCACCTGTCAAATATTAAGTGCCCATACATTTGTGAATGTGTTTCTTAGCTCTTTTATTCTATACTGTTGATTTATTAGTATATCCCTGTGTGAACATGTTTTCTGTTACCATAGGTTTGTGATTTTTTTCATATCATTAATCTTTCTTCCAGTACTAGACATTGTGTCTAAAAGAACTGTAGACACTAGAGCAATATTTTTTCCCTTTCAGAAAGGGCATGCTATTTGTTCTGTTAGGCAGCTAGGATGAGAGGCTGATCATTTTAATCCATTAAAGATTTGAGCTTGGTCAGAGCTTGGTTGTAGCTTTAATTAGTTTCAGTTCACCTCTGCTTTCAAATGTTTCGAGGGCAATATATATTTGCTTATTGGCAAGAGAGTAAGTATCTTGGAATATTAAAAGTGTGATGATGATGAGAGAAGAGGATCTTTGTTATAGTGCATTCGTTCATTCATTGGTTCATTCTTCAAGTACTTCAAGGGCTGGTGCTTTCTAAGCACTGGGATATAGAGTAAGAAAAATAGAAAAAGTACTTACTTTTACTGGAACTTGCATTGTATAAGAAGGAAAGAGAAAAGAACGGATTAGCAAATAAACATGTAATAAATGTTATGAAGAAAAAATAAAACACAGTGTGGAATTAGAGAAGGCCAGGAAGTATCCTAGCTCTGCTACTTGCTTTTTGACCTTGGCTAAGTTATGTAACAGTTTGGCCTTGTTCGTATATCTCTAAAATGGGTGTAAAGTTAAGAAATAAAATAAAATAAAATAGGATTTTTGTGAGAATAAATGACTTAGTTTGTGACATGATGCTTAACAATGCTAAAGACGTAAGCGTTCAATAAATATTAGCTGTTGTTTTTATTATATTACTGTGAGGAATCTAATTAAACATACAAGTTTAGAGTTCAGTTTGTACAATGTTTTTGAGTGGCTGATATTGCTGGTAGAAGGCCAAATTGTTGCCAAGGGCTGCTGACGCTTAAAGCAAACTTCAGAGTAGAACAGAGAGCCAGGGTGACTGACTGTAGAGCAAGAGATGATCGGGGCAGAGGCTACCTGAAGGCTAGGCCAAAAGAACTAAGGTGAACACTTTGAAAGGACAGTGTTAATCCTTGGTAACTAAAGTGACTTTTGAAGTTTTCTTCCTGTGCTGTATTTCCAGTTTGGCTCCAGAAGGTTTGGTCTCCAAAAGATTTTGTGGGTCCAAATTTGAATTGAGCCTGTGTTCTAGCTTTATCCTATAAATACAGTTACTTAGCCCAAATTATAACCTCTCATCTGGCTCATAACTTCTCAGATATGCAGGTTTCTCTTACTGTGAACATAATTTCTGGCCCTGAAAATAGGTCATTGGGTCTGACAAAAGAGGTTGATTTATTCATATGAAAATTCTTATGTCATCAAAGGAATTTGTATTCATAGTTGCATTTAACGAATCTTTTTGTTGAACAGTAAAGTGCAATTAGATATACTCAGAACTCTAGACTAGTAGTTTAGAAAATTATTTGATACATAACCTACAGTAGGGGAAATATATTTAATATCGTGACCTCATTTACACACATACACACAGAGGTATACCTTTAAATAGCTCAAATAGAACACTGTTTACCTTACTGCATATGATGTGTTCTATTGTCTTCTGTTCAAAAAAAAATCGGGATTCTCTTATCAAATTGATTTCATTGCCCACTAATGGCTCATGCCCTTATCTGGTTCACTCTATGATCACCTGAAGAAAAGGTGGAGTCTTTTAAAATGTCAAAGGAAGAGTGATTGGCAGAATTCAACAGTGACTTAGGAACATCTGTGGAGTTCTTAACATGGTTTTGTTATGGAAAAACCCAAAGATCTTGAAGTGTACTCCTTGACCTTGAATGTGCTTTTAAGATGGAAATTTGGGAAGAAAAATGTTAAGTGACATTGGGAACAACTACAGTGGGGAGCTGATAAGGGGCACTAGTAGCAGGGTGGTTGGGAAGATAAAGGCATATGCTCAAAACAGTTGTGACTCTAGAGGGAGGTGGAGGTATGCCACAGCTCTATCCCAGTGGTCAGTTGCTCTGTCTCTTTAACCAGCTCATAAGAAGCAGCTCTAGTAGGGAAGTAGAAGGTTGAAGGTCTATTGTAAGGTACCGAGTTATATTTTTTATTCTTGTCCAAAAGAATTTGGGGCATCTTCTAATAAAACCATAAAGCATTTTCTACACAGTGGTTCAGTTAGTGTTATTTGTTAGTATAGAATAAGACAAAAGCTATAAGACTTAAGATAAAGGAAATGGCTTGGTGTCAGTTGGAGCCACCCCAAGTGGTCCTATGGAAAGTTTATATGAGGCTTGCAGTTCTGGGATTCCTCATCTCAGTTTACCTTTCAAAATATACCTTTTAAATCCGTCATAAGTCTTAGAAGTATGCAGTGAAGACAAACTGGGCACTAGCTTTTATGAAGTTTACCCTTTAGCTGGGGAGAAGGATAGGTAGAGTTATTTCAGATAGTACCATGTACTATGACAATAATATGTCATAGTAATGAAAGAGTGAGTAGTGTTGCAGGAGAGGATTATTTTTGATAAGGTAGTCATAGAAGGCAACTGAGCATATGACATTTGGGCAGAGACCTGAATTATGAGCTCTTGCAAAGATCTAG